TCTCCAGAATGACTGACCCCACCTTTAATCTGCCAATCTTCATGATAGACAGCTATGTATATATATCTTCTGATTAAATATGCAAGTATCAATTTCAGGATTCTTGACACTGGTTTAATCAATGGACGTAAAAACTGTTAAAAACAACTTATTTGAAGACATGATTTGGGGTTTTAGGAACATTATGATGGTAATTTTGATATTTTATTGATCAAAAGATTTATCAATTAATCAATTGCTGATAAAAAAGTGCTAAAATGATAAATCCATTTATCATTTGAAAGAAAATTTTTATATTGAACAACTTTTAACTAACAATTGTCAGTTATCCAGCAAACATGTCAAGTGTTAAGTTCTGTCTTCTAAAACAGGATCTGTTTTATATCATTGTAAAGGAAACGTCTTCTGGTTTGGGACTGTTGGTCGGACAAAACCAGACAAATAATTATCAGCTGCAACGCTGCATAAATCTTATTTGTGTATGTTGTGTTGAATATGACACCCACAAACATCTCTCACTTTCACAGCCAGCACACAGGCCCGTCAGATATATGAGGATCAAAGCGAGCGTCCATTCTCCTCTTCAGTCTATTCAAACTACAGTTCACAAACAGCTCTACGAAACATTGTCACTTATCGGTATTTCCAAATATGCCCACACAGCTAGCTGCTGTTAAATGTTTTCTTCGTTTTTTTCAGTTCTGAAATAAGGTCAGACTTCCTGAATTAAATCTCTTTTTACTCCCTTTCAAACCGAACTGAAAGTCAACGCCGGCCAGATGACACATTCGCGTTTCAGCTACAGTGTTTGTACTTTTCATTGTGTGAGAGAATAGAAGAGAAGAGAGGAGAGTGTTGCTGTCGGCACCTGTGATCAGTCAGCTGCCTGTGACTGTAGCAACCAACCGGCTGATTTATGATGTTACTGGCTCTTGTGGCATGCAGCAACATGGCGTGGTTAAAAAGCCCCTATATCCTCGTCTCTCAAACCCTCAGTGTTGAGCTCGCCTTCCCTTCATCTCTCGTTGCCTCATTTTCAGATCTCTCGTTTCAGTCTCGTTTCCCCAGGCTGTCTTTATCTCCCTGGCCATTTCCTTTTTTCTTCTGTCCCGTCCATCTCTCTAGCAATGAAAAGCTACATTTTATATCATAGCTGAATTTATATGCTTAAAAACGCCTGAATATCCAGGTACAAAGGGTTTCTGCACTCTTTCATTCTTTCTTTTTGTCTTCTGTCTCTTGTTCCACCCACATTTCAGTTCTCAGGGAGGAAGGAGGAGAAAACAGATATATCTCTAACCACCGGTTACACACACACACACACACACACACACACTGCCACACCCACATGTACAGAAATACAGGTGCATGCTCAGCACACCAATCCATGCAGGTTGACATGACTAATATGCAGTGATATATGATACATACAAGTGCTTACACATTGAAATAATCACCTTGCAGGTCATCTCTTTCTCAAATACACACGTATTCAAGGTCTTAACTTGTACTGTATAAGCACACCAGGTTTTTGTCTGCTTTTTGTTTCCAGTACTAAAGACACCAGCAGCAGGAGAACAGACGAGGAGATACAACAATGTTTGGCAGCAGCTTAGACTATGCAGATTTTAGTTCCAGTTGTACTGTTAATTGTACTGTTAAATCACCTCCGTGCCTGAGCAGGGCTGACAACCGGTCGCTGTTTATGTACTGAGCCTTAAATTTCTTAGCCGTTCTGCTTGCTCCTTGTTGGTGAAAAGGGACCAGTTATGGTTTGAAAGCACACTCCGCTTTACAGTGACTACTGCATAGGTCTAGATCAATAAAGCTATACAATGGCAGCCACGGTAGCTGCCCCCACACACCCCGCTGCACTGCATCAGAGAGCAGAGGGTCACAGAAGCATTTTACAACATAGCCGGCCTCACCATGGGATCAGACAACACATCATTTCTAGTCAAAAATATGTTTTATGATTTCATTAGCAGTTTTTTGTTAATAAACAGTAGCTGTTCACTGTCGCTCTTTGCCACGCTACATGTCTAGAGTGATGAGGGTTGCCTGTAGGCACTACTGATTTCTAAGCTGTCGTGACCCAAAAAGGTTAAGAAGTACTGCAACACTTGCACTACAGGAAAAACTACATGTAAATACAGGCTGTAACTGGATTATTATATGGCCGTCGGCCTGTTATATTGTATTAACTGTTACTATGCAGAAGAAAGTCACAATCCCTTTGAAGGGTCAATTGGATTTGGGTCAGTTTGGCTACTCTGGATATTAATGGATTATTAAGACTATTATGCAGTTATTGTATTATAGATTAAGGGTTTTTCCCCATCAAAAATAAGTTTAGTTTTGCATATTTACTTGCTCCAGTATGAATAGTGTCTAGGTGAGAGTATTTGGTATGTCTAGATTTATGTTATACTCACAGATCCTGTCAGTAGCAGATACACATTTAGTCTGCCATATGTCTATTTATTTGGAGCTGACTTTACCATGAGACAACCAAAGTTACTGGCCGTTTGTCACTTTTTAAAAATGATAGTCACTTCATGAGATACTGCTGTACAAGCCTTTTAGTGTAGACAATGAATATAAATTTGTGTGAGATGACATCAACAGCAAAACTGTCCCAGCTTGCGGGTGCTATCTTTGAGTGCCTGCTGCACGGACACCAGCTGAGTGAGTTGTTTCAGCTGCAGATTTGACTCCAAACAGACTCTCTTGACTGTGCTGACATATAAATTAATATCGACAGTGCGTGTTTCTGAGTAATTTGTGCTTTTCATTGAGATCTAAGTTGAATTATAGCCTGTCTACTAGTTGTTGTTTTGGGATGTTACACTGTAGGCCTGTTATTTTGTTTCTGTGTGTGACGGCACTGCTATTTAGCCACCTGTCTAGACTGTCATGCTTCTCAATTACGTTTTCCTTTGTGAATAGTTGTCTCCGAATAGTTGACTGTTACTGGCAAGTATTATACTGACTAACCATTATTGCATATTTCATGCCTTAAAATGCTCCGAATTTCGATAGCAGCTGGTAGATCTTTCACTGTCACTTCACCTTTTAGCTCTTATGTGCATTAGATATAATAGACTAAGCTTTTCAATGTGGTTTAGTGCACAAAGCCTCTTTGCTGAGTGCTTTATGCTTTATAGATTTCCAAGTGCTGTCAATTATAGCTGCTTAGGTGTCCATTTTTTACGCTAGTCAGGTTTATGAGAATCAAATGCTCGTCTGTGATGGTGGTGCAGTTAAAATATAAGTGCGAACACAGCTATGCAATGTAGAAAATCAGTATTTACCGTGTGTCTGGTGTGTGGGTACAAATGTATGAAAAACGGGAACCTCTATTTAACATCGACAGCCTATATTAAGTTTGTGTCGTGCAGGTGTGATTCGTGACTTAAACTAATAGTAGTTTCAGGTGTGGTTGTCTCTAAGTTGGCAACATGTCACAACATGAGGAGTTTGCTTGATTTTTCCCTCTGACATAATGAAGTGTCTATATGGAACCTCCTGGTGGGAAACGGCCTGGAGCTATTAAGCACAATTACATCACTCTTTACCTTTTAATCAGCTTTTAAGATCATTCTACAAATTAAAATACACAAGTCCAATTAACCAAACAAGTCTTCAACTGAACAATAAGGATATATTAAAAGGTTCGCGTTCGCGGGAGTGACTGACGTGTGTGTGTGTGTGTCACTTATCGAGGCCTTTTTAATCAGATTAGACATGACTCAACGCTCACGGATCAGAGGACCCCTGCCTTCCGAAACATGAATCAACACATCCATCAATCACCAGGAGCAATTTTAAAGCAGCCTTCAAAGGTTCGATGATCTGTGTGCCGAAACAGATCCAATGACCAGATCAGTTGCACGATTATTGACTGGTAGTGATTTGTGCACGAGCATCTTAAAAGGGCAATCCTCCCCGAGCCCGTAATCACGGTTGTTATTCCTGTGACCTTGGACTCTCGAGCTGTTAGGGCATATAGTTTGGGCGGATATGAAGATCTCTCCCGGAGCGAGGGGGGGGAGAGAGAAAAGGGAGGGTGAGGAAAAAAGATCATAGCTGCAACTTTGATCTTTGATGATCATCATCAAGAGACACGGCCCGCAGCCTGTTGATGACATCACAGATCACAGTCCGTGCAACCTCTCAGACTGCCTCTCAAATCCAGATTTAGGTGACCACAGTTACAGTGATTCAGCTTTAGGGTGGATGATCATTTATCTTCACACCCTCCTCCTTCCTGCTCCACACCCAAACCCCCCGCCCTTCTTATTCCAGCAGCACTACCTTGATCCCTTTTTCTAGAATAGTCTTTTCCAGCCCCTATCATAAGATGCATCTGTCACCTGTGTGTGAATCCGGCTGTGGGCATGCATGTGTGCACTTGAATATGTGTATCAGTTGAGTTCCCTAAATGTGTGTGCGTGCGTGTATGTGTGTGTGTGTGTGTGTGTGTACATGCGTGTGATTTGTGTGTGTGTGTAAAGGCGAGCGCTCTCCGTAAAAGAAGCACAATGAAAGGGAAATATGTGTCATGTCCTTGCTAGCCCTCGAAGGATAGAGAGATCTATTTCTGTCGCCACAAATGGAGGTGTTCAAGCAGCCTTCAATAGCAGAGATTTGCCTCTTCACACACACACACACACTGGGAGCTAGAGAAAAGGCTAACCATTCTTGTGTGGCAAGAGAGCGGCTGAGCGATACAAAAAGATAACAGAGTGAGAGAGAATTAAGAAAGGGACGGAGGAGGAGGAGACGGAAAAAGGGAGAGGAAGAGAGAGAGAGAGAGAAGGGGGAGCGGAGGAGAAAAGCAGAATTAAGTACACTGAGTTCATAAATATTTGACACACACACACACACACACACACACACACACCACACACACACACACACACACACACACACACACACACACACACACACACACACACACACAGTTCCCACATAAAAGCAAAGTGCTAGTTGTTTACCTAGAGGCATGCCTTTGTTGAGGAGATGTGAGCTTCCCATGGTGTGTTCCCCAGCCGGCCAGCACACAACAGAAACCTACAGTCTTCACACAGCAGACATGAACAGGAATCCAGTCAGCATATGGCGGCTGTGGCCAGCTACCTCGCTTCCCTTAGTCCTTCTCCCAGCCCCTTAGTGACAAGCATACACATGTGCTCCCCCTCTTTTCTCTCTCTCTCTCTCTCTCCCCTCCCTTCCGTCCCCTTTGCACGCCCGCTCTCTCTATCTGTCTTACCCCTCCCTCCCTCCCTCCCTGCCGTCTCTAGCTAACTCCCTCTCCCCTCCCTTTCTCACTTTCTATTACAGCAAGTCTTTCTGTCTCTCCCTCTGCCTCTGTCACCAGAAAACAAAAATGTGCACACACCGAATGCAAGCACTGCTGCATTTATGAGAGCGGGAGAACAAGAAAGTGTGAGTGTGGGTTTGAAAGTGTGTGTGTGTGTGTGTGTGTGTCTGTGAAAGAGAGAGAGAGAGAGAGAGAGAGAGAGAGAGAGCAGGAATGGGGAGGAGCTAACGCTGGCAAAAATTCATCTTTTGTTTCCTGAAAGACGACAGGGAGAAAAAAAGAAAAGACAGAAGAGTTATGCAATTACAATAGCAAAGGAGGAAAAACTTGTTCTTTCTGATATCAGGAAAACAATTACAAAGCTCATAAAACTTGTTTAAAGAAAGAACATACTGTGGTTTTATAATTAGTGTTTGTTTTCCTTAGAAGTTTACTTACACTGCAGTTATACACATTCAGATCTAAGATCCATGTCTGTTGGTTTTCTCTAAGCACATCAAAACTTAAGTAATTTCAGTTTCTAATTACCTTTAAGTCCACACTTAAACATTACTAAATAATACATTGTACTTTCTACAGGAGTAAATACACTGTATCTGCACCCCTTTTTCATATTTAACACTTAACCAATGTGTGAATATGTGTGGGTGAATAATCTGATATTGTACTCAACCACTCGAGCAATTGCTTCTGATCATATTCTAGTTTGATGTTTAAATACAACTCTTCATAGAGCCTTGTTAGTGTAAAACTCTTATTACTAATGTTATTATTGTTACAGAGTTGGTTTCTGACTATACTGATTAGTGTTTGTCGTTGATATGTAAAAGACTTTAAAAATACTGTAGTGGAAACTGGCATATTAATATTTTCTTTGCACAAGCACATTTTTGTGACTATTTCCAAAACCATGATTAAGGCAATAGTCTAATTAAGTCATTTTTATAATCCCATAATTGAATCTAAGGGTTGTTTTGAGACACACTGACGCACCATCTCATTACTTCCCAACAGTTTGACCCTAATTAATTTTGTCTCATTCTTATTTCCCTTAAAAATATATGATACCTAAATACTGTTTAATAAAAAAGTAAAAAAAAAGTAGTACAGTAAGCAGGATAGTATAATCTATTATGAGGCACAGGCACTTTCATCTCGATGCTTTGGTCTAGTTAACACCTACTGTGTACCTGTTCGGGCTCTTTCTGTCCCCGCAGTGGTGATGTTACAGTTCCTCTCATCTACACTTGGTCACTAGATAAGCACAGTGATATGCGGCCTCAGACGCACCCATGACTGCCAGGGCCTAACCTAGTTTAACAGCAATGATGGTTACATCATGTCCTCACTATTGGTAAATGTCGCAGACAGCCAGTGGGCGAGTTGTTCAAATCCAAAACGAGGCGGAGGGGTCAGGGAAGCAGTTGTTTTCAACACTGTCGGTAGGCTTGCTCATGACCTTTGTCATAAATGATCACCCCCACCATCCTCTTCAACCACTCCTGTCAGCTGCTGGCTTCATTATAAACACAATGATACAACACTACAACTTAAGTTTCATCTTTAAAGGAAAATGAGCAATGTGCTCCTCCTTGTTTTTTGCAGTGGAGCAGGGCCTGAGTCAGAGAGCAGAGAAATATGAGGAATTCTGCCTAACCAAAAGTCAGCAAGGGTACATGCAGTGTAGGGCTTATAGCAAAACAGCATTTGGCCTGTTTAGTGACTGCTGCTTGCTAGAGTGCTGCAGGCGAATACCACCGACAGCACTAGTCACTGTGACTCTTGGTGTGTTCATTTAACAATGTCCACACCAGATGGGGGAGTCACTGTGGAAGACGACGTGACTCACTCATTCCTCAAAACAAGTAGTAAAACTAACATAACATAACATAACTGTGGAGGTAGAGACAAAACATGTGGTCCACATGAGTCACACAACATTTTTTGACCAGCTGCAGGTGACACCGGTTATATAGTGAATGTGGCTGTTTCAGTTCAGTTAAACAGCATTCACACACTTAAGAGCCAACCTGAAGGCAGTGCAAACTCAGCTTTCTGTGTGCAAGGACATACAAATCCAGTTGTTTACTGCTCGTCTGACCCATGACACCCTCTGTAGATGCACACCCTAATGTCTAATTCACACAGCAGCACGTGGCGAGGGGGAAGTTTCAAATCTGTAGCAGCCGTGAAGTGGGGAAGTGGTAAAACCCCTTATGTTTGTCATGCAAAAGTTGACTTGAAGTCAATTTGCAGCCAACAGCGACAGCCACTCTGAACAGACCTGAGCCTGTCCCTGGGTTTCAGACTTAAAAAAACACTTCAAAAAGTCCAACAAAATTTGTTTTGGTAATATTCGAGGCAGGAAATGCCTGTGTACTGAAGCATAAATAACAAATCACAACATATACTTTAATAGTTTGCTATGGGATTTAAGAGCTTATAGATTGAATTTTGCACTACATTGCAGAAAGTATTAACCACTTCAGCTGCCTAGTGTCTCGCCATAATAAGCACCATATACTGTATTCAACAAATGATGCTAATTCAAAGTTTAAACTGATCCAAATATCTCTCTGTCACTATATTTGACATGGATGGTATTGCTATGAGGTGCATGTCTTAAAGCATTAAATATAACAGTGCGAGTTGTGTGTATAACTAGGTGTGCAGGTCTGGCTTGAGTTCTCACACCAAATTCAACCTGACAACATGGAGTCAATAATGTGAGACGCTACAGGCACATTTATCGTGTTGACAGGGCCGATGGCAACTTCACTCCAACCACCTCTTAACCACGGCAAGAGACAAATGTTCCCCAGGAGATAAAGGAAACGGAAACATATTCGGTGCTTCTAAATAAGGATGGAGAGAGGAGACGACAGTCACAGGGGAAAGGGAGAGAGAGGATGGGTGTTACATGTTCCTCAGATTACAAGTGATGATCAGCAGATTATTTAATGGTGCTCATGAGGGAAAAGGAGGAACAGAAGATGACAGGGTAGAAAAAAAGATTTCACTTCCTTACGTTTTGTTTCAATGCAAACCTCTTTTTCGTCTCAAAAGTCTTTTGTGTGTGCCGACTGATCAGATATTCACACGCGTTGTATGAGGGTGGACATACACCCTTTCATCTCCTCACCCACTCTCCCTCCCCATCTACCTTCCTCCCCCACCTCCCCTCTGTCTGCCTTTCTCCTCCCTCTCTCTACTCTCTCCGTACCTCCTGCTCTTCCATCTGCCCATCTTGCTTTCTATCTTCCATCCCAAATTTCCCTCTCAATATCATTCACACTCCATCACCCTCATTCCTGCATCTCTTTCACTCTCTTTTTCCATCTCTGCTTTGCTCACCATACATCTCCACCCCCCCAACATGCACGCACACCCCCCACCCCTTCTCTCTCTCTGTAGTCACTGCAGCGTGTCTAATGGTTCGCCTCCTCCTCAGCAGAAGCGGAGGCCAGGCGAGCAGCAGCCCCGACTAACGCCTCCCAACCGCTGGCCTTATCAAGACTGACAGCGAGCTCCACCCACAGCTAGCGCTAACGTACACACCAACACACATAATTACAAAGATACATGCACATGTACGAAGATACAAGCTTGTGCACAGAGAAATAAATGTACACCTGTGAGGTACACATACACGCATCACATGAACAATCGTGTTTGAATATCTGTCTTGAACGTGTATTTGTAATCATGTTTAATTCTCATTACGGTTGATATGTAATATAATCATGTTTATTTCCTATTAAGTTTCTGAACCTTGTTGCTGATGCACACTTACACTATAGCTCTAAATGTAGCTTCAAAGAAACACATAGTGGCCATAGTACCAGCTGTAATACCAGCAAATTGGATTTATGGCTACTGACAGTGAGCTGCAGAACAATGTGAATGCCACAACAGAGGAGATACAAGAGAAAGTAGCAATCTAATCTACTGTAGGAGGAGATGGGTGCTGTGGGCATGTAGAGTCTGAGCCATGTGTGAGAGCAGGAGGGGAGGCAGAGAAGTGAAAGGAGGTGGAATACAGGAACAGGAGAAACAGGTTGTCAGAAAAGACGAATGAGGGTAAGGTGAGGTGAGAGGCGGATAGAAAGAGAAAAGCAGTTGAACAAACAAGGAGGATGGCAAGGGGGTGGAGGACGAGGAGGAAGATAAGGAAAGAAAAAAGGAACGAATAAAGGAAGAAGAATCATTAATCTAACGGAACGATCTTAAGGCCAGAGATACTGTCTGACAGTTGGAAGGTGCTCACCTCCCTCGACGGAGAGAAACAAAATCCCCTTTAAAGACATCCAATATCAACCGTAGTCCCCGGTCTCATTTATATAAAGTGTTCTTTAAATTTACTTCAACATCATTTACCGTGCCTCTCTTTTTGGCTGCAACTGAGAGTATTTTATTTTTATCAAATAATCTGCTGATTATTTTGTTGATTAGGTGCTGGGGCGATTAAATGTCAGAAAATAATAAAGCTCAAGGTGATTTCTTCATTAGTCTCGACCAGCAGTCCAAAAGCCAAAGGGGATTCACTTTAATATCCCTTAAGACTAAGAAAAACAGCAAATCCACACATTTGAGAAGCTGGAACAAGGTCATGTTTGGCAACTTTGCTTGAAAAATTACAAATGATTAATCAATTAACAAAATAGGTGCTGCCAAGGCTTAGGAGTTGGGAAGCTGTCACTGGTTCAGATGTGACCAGACCATCAGACCTTTGTTGCGTGTCATTCACACTCTTTTTCCACTAATTTCCTCTCTTTTCTCTTTTTTTTTTAAAAATCCCAATAGATTTGACATTAAGGAATGCACAGCCCAGCTGGGATTCAGAGGATGTCCGCTTCAAAGCCTGCATACTCCAATATAAACAGCGGGGAACTGGGAGTAGGAAATGTGTGAGGAGACCTGGTATTTCTACATCACGCTAAGGTTTTATTTTGTAATTTGACGGTAAGACCAGTTTATAAATGAGTCCCCAGGTTTTGGTGTCAGTCCTTTAGAATTAAAGAGCAATAGCTTCTTCATAGATTTAATAAAGTGCACCAACTTTCAACAACCACAAAAGCCAAATCCCTCGTTAAAGAGGCAGAAATATCCATTTCTCCACCAACTTATTCATCAAGAAATAATAATCCTCCTGTCACACAAAGACTCGTATACTCAACCAAGCCTCCATACTATAAGTGCACACATGAGCAGATCAATTTCCTCCCTTATTTAGCTTGGCACAGAGTTATCTCTTCAAAACCTAAACACAGTGCAGAGCCAAGCTGTAAGCGCAGCCGCTACTATCACATAAACTCACACGTTTCTACCCACACAGACACTGATAGACACTGACACACGCTCACACACACTACACACAGGAAGCACTTGGTGTGGGGCCAAAAATACATCACAAACCTTGCATCACCTTCCTCTCTGTGTGTCCACTGTTCCACTTTGTTCCAAAGCCGGGTGGGGGTGGGGCATGCAGCAGATAATGGGCCAATTGTAAGCGATTAGAGCTTGTGCCAGCCAATCAGCACAGCCTGGCATTGGACAGCGGCCAATGGCAATATGTTCACCACGGATGGGGGGAGGGTGCTTTCACTCACACAGGAAAAGAAATGTGGCCATGAGAGGGATGTAGGGGGGGATTCGTTTGATTTTTAAATCTACCTTATTTAATTTTTACTCCATTCTGGTCTTATCATCTGTGAAGCACTTTGAACTGCACTAAACTGTATAAAATGTGCTTTATGAGTAAAGTTGGATTGATTGATTCACTGGTTGTATTGGCGGACTGTAAGCTGTATTTTAAATTCCTAAATAACAATATCCTAATTTGGTCTCTGTTTTTCAAATCTTTTGATTTCATCATCAGTGGAATATAAATATTGTGCTGATAAAAAAATATTTGTATCTATCATAGGATTTACTCTTATTTCAGGTGGCTGTGTTGAACTTGAGCCCAGATTTGGTTTTAAATGTCCAAACATAAATCAGGATTCCTCCTGGATGTCTTTTGCTGCTCAGATGTTTGATTTCTTGTTGCTTTTCATTTGTAAATTCTAATAATCACTGTCAGCAGGTCAAACGTGAGCCCTGCTCTTTCCTCATATATTTCTTAATTTAAAAAGCAGCTCTTGCCATGCAGCTCCTCATACACAAGATTACTGACTTTAATCTCTGGTGATTTGTATAATGAGGATGTTTGGATGTGAATAAGTGGACCTGTGGACTACACTGGCACTTCAACTAACACGGATTTTCATTATCAGTTAATATTTCATTAATTAATTCATCGCTACCTGAAAAAATGTTTATAAAATGTCAGAAAATTATGACAAATACCACTGTGCTAGTGCTACCTGTCCCTGCCATTGAGCCCGTTGAGAGCTGAAACCTCTCTCTTCTGTGTAAATGTAATAAATGATTAAGAAAGCTCAAACTCACCTCTGCTTGAGGTGGATGCTCAAATACAGCAGCCCTAAGGAGGAGGACAAGAACACGTGATTAATGATGCTGACCGATTCATTTGTTCATTATATACCGCAGTCTTTTTAAATGTAATCACGGAAACATTTTACAGAGAAGTTGTAGAGAAGTTACTAATCAACAACTGGGCAAACAGAACAGCTACTCGGTGCATCATGTGGAGGTATTGTTTTGTCAGCAACAGCATGTAAACAACAAGCTGTATTTAACCTTTAATCAACTTTCACTTCACTAAGGAGAGCAGCACCCTGCACACACAGGCAGAGCTGACACCGTCCCACCGGGTGGCGGTAGTGAGCACTGAGGCCATTCTGAGTGGAGAGAAAAAAATACACAAACAACCACAAGAAAACCACACAACCAAGATGGCGGTGCAAGAGACAGCATCTCAACTGTCCATGGCTCTCAAAGTCCAAGAATATCCCACCCTGAAGGTAAACAACGACGGAGACTGGCACACATGAACAGCCCGACGACTCGGACTGTCCAAAACGCACAACGTGTGTGGTGGTATTTGGAAAAAGGGGATTATTAGTTCATCTGATAGCGAGACCAGCGGGCTTGACAGGGAGGCTAATGTTAGCTGAGCCAGCTTTATCCAGGTAGCAGCGTCCACTAACCTGCAGACTGTAAGGAGATCACAGAGACCGAGTAGGTCGATACATAACGACAGCTGCTGGCTGGTCTGCCGGCTGTCTACTGTCGGGATGGGTTCGGGTTAGTAACGCCAAGTGGGGTCGAGGGCCTCCGAGCTGTTAGCTTGAGTTTAAGCCATGTCTTTCTTTTTCTTTCTTTAAACTAAATAATCTTGACAGGAGAAATAATATGTGAGTTAACGGTACATACCTGGGTTATCTTATTCATTGTGTGTGTGTGTGTGTGAACGGTAACGACTATAACGGCCACCTTAACCGTTGGACATTTAACCGTTGGGCATTTAACCGTTGGGCAGTAGAATTCAGTGGACGTTGCTTGGTGACATAAACGTCGTGTTAAACACAAACCACGGAGATAGCCTGTGAACGTAATGGCTCTTCCCTTCAAACAAGGCACGGCGTCAAAGAAAAGGCTGTCAGGCGTGAGTGGCCTACTAGCTAGTCTTGCTTTGTGTGTGTGTGTGTGTGTAAAACCAGCGTTAGCCACCTCCGTCGGGCGCAGAAGACGAACAGCCTACCAGATACGTAACGTCGAGCATGCAAATGGTAGCTGGCTGGAAGATGGAGCGGCTGAAAGCGGCGGGGGAGAGCCCGTAACGCTACGCTGTCACACAGACAATCAGCCCTGCGAGTTAGCGCAGTGTCATCACATTGCTGCTGCCTCTCTGCACTTCAAAATGGCCAGCGAGAGAAATCACAGGCTGCCTCTGCCGCACACACACAAACACACACACACACACACACACTGCTCTCTATTCCTCATAACGTTACTGCGACACCACAGCTAAAAGACGAGCTGGAACAAGTCCGGGCTGCTTCCCGTGTTCAGTCTGAGAGAGCAGCAGATAGCGTCGGCGTATAAAGCACGCTTGTGAGTAGCTTTGTATTGGCAGCTTTTCGTGTGGTCACTGACGACACATGATGTTGCCATGATGAATATAACGTGGCGTTTGGTGTTGTTGGCGATGTTAATGTGTGTGTGTGTGTGCAGAGAGCATGGCTGTGGTGTGTGTGTCTGTCTTTGCTTGGATGCTGCAGTAAGGATGATGGGCACCATTTTAAGACAGGAGTGATGGTTATAATTGGCATCAAATGGGAGTCCACAGCTGGGGGAGAGCAGTGCTGATTGCATGTGGAGCTATATTGAGTAGGATTATAATGACACACACACACACACTGATGCCATCAAAATACAGTACGTGTTGGATATCATGTCCTTGGGGAAGGTTTTGGACATTTTCACAGTCTGATGAGTGTAAGATTTACACCAGCGTTCGTAAATAATGTGGTAGCCCTGATATATTTACTCATTTATGTGTGTAAATGAGCAAAATCCTAATTTTGGCCAGTGGTTTTAATACATATAATAAACCTCAATGCTGAAAAGGCCCATTGCAGTCAAATGACATTGTAATGCTGCATAATTAAGATGTCTGTATTCAAGGTAAGTCAAAATAATCATTCAGACTAGTCTCTTTTAGTGATTATAGTTATTGTGATTAACATTAATGTGCAGTGTTTGGAGGGGGGTTGTGGATGTCTCTTGCAGTGAGACACCTCCCAACAAATCAACCACCACGAACCACCAGCTGGTTATATGAGCTGTCTGACATGTATTCATGACTGAATTACATGTCAGCTGTCAACTAAATCATAGTTCATCATGGAAAAGAATAACGCCATGCATATGATCTAGTAGCATTTCCAAAAAGGGAAATATTTCTGTCTCAAAATGCGTAAAAGCAGAATGTGTTACTAACTTTTAAAGAGCCACATTATGTTAATTTCTGTGTAGGTGTGTTTTCTGTGCACATCTCCTGTTAAAGGGAGTCAATCTTATGGACATTTATAGATTAAATATCTAGGTTTCAGTGCCTGTTTTGGCTTATCAAGGTGCTACTTCATTTCATGACCCCTAATTAATCTGTTGATCTGTGGCCAAGTGTGTCACTAAAAAACAAATCCTGATCTTTATTTAGCTCTAAGAAATAAGAAAGGCTGGCGACTGATGTAAAGCCAATGCCTTTTTCCTCTTCTACAGTGGCAGTACACATTCCTGAGCAGAATAAGCTCCCTATTTCTGTCTAATAATCAGTTTTAAACAAAAAAATTCCAACAGAGCAACACTATTCTTTATTCTATCATCGTGCCACGCATGTATAATTTCCCTCTTTAGTACTGGTGATCTGTGAATTTATCCTGACTCGAACTGAAAAGAAAATAATCCTCTCAATGGATCAAAATCCTCTTTTCTCTCAGAAAAAGGAGTCACAGCGGTCAGTCTGGTTCACAGGTATCTGCAAAGCCATCTTGTATTGTAATATAAAGGGAGAACACAATGTACTGTTGATTTGGATCATAGATGATTCTTTTATCATACAATCTCATAGTTTCAAGCCTCTCTGCGATAAGCATGTGCTTTCTGAATGTCCCACAACCACGGTAGTATACAGACTGTAGCTCTCTAAACACCCTTTTGAATCTCTTTTGATAGATTACTAAAATCCTAAAAGTAAACCATTTAATTGTTTAATTTTTGTATATGCCACATCACATTTTTACTAAACTAAAATCAGCAAATCAAAGCAAAGAAACTGGCCATTAACTCTAAAATGTGGCAAGGTGAACAATAAAATAATCACTAAATCAGACGCCTTGTTAATAAGATACTTTCACAGAAAGTATTGGGAATACTTTGAACAGGAATTTGTTAGGATTAAATGGATCAAGTTGATTTGAGTCGGTATAAGTTGGAGATTTTCTTGTAAAATACATTACCAACAGAATAATGTGTAAAAATTAAACGGACCAATTATCAAATATTCTGTAGATGGCAGCAGGAAGAAAGACCGCATTGTGGGAGTCGGAAAAAGTGGTCATCAGTCTTCTGCTTCTTGCTTTAATTTGTTTCCGTTGAGCAGTTCTTGGACCGGCTGCAGGAATGTGATGAAATGAGGCTGCTAGAAGACCGTTCACAGGCCATCACAGAGCACAATGCTCATAGTGTTAAACTCTTTCTAACAGCTGGTGACAACTTTGAAAGAAACATGAACAGCGGGGGGAAAGAGATTTTGTATTAGAAATGGAATTAAAAAATTATCAGTATTTATTTAGGCTGATTGTTCATTTATGGTCTATGTAAACAGGAAATCTATACAAACAACTTATTTTCTTTAGGGAGTAAAACCCTCAAACACTTTGTACGACACTTATTGTAGCTGAGCTATCTAAACATCTGTCTGCCTTTTTCACACTACAAACCTTAATCAGCTAAAAGTAATGTTTCTATGCAACTGTTAGCTGAAGGTGTTTTGTAACGTCGTACTGAGCTGCAAGCTTGCACTTTGCCACAGCTACACCTAAATGCCTGCTGCAGCGAGGTAAATGTCCTGTTTCATTGTGGTTGCAGGTCCCCTACGAGACTCTGAACAAACGTTTCAGGGCGGCTCAGAAGAACATCGACCGGGAGACGAGTCACGTGACGATGGTTGTTGCGGAGCTGGAGAAGACGCTGAGCAGTTTCCCAGTGGTGGACTCTGTGGTGTCACTGCTGGATGGTGTGGTGGAGAAACTCAGCGCCCTGAAGAGGAAGGTGAGGGATACAGATGTGCACATAAACACATCCTCCTCTCTATCAAGGGTCAATCAGCTGGGGTGGGGGGGTAATAGGATAAGAAATCAAAAGAGCAATAGAGAAAATGACATTTTTTCAAATTAGTTTCAGTTTCCTCACAGATTTGTTTTCAGCGGCGGGGCGGGGGGGGGGTTTTGTTGAAACCCCCACTGGACTGGGAG